CCCCCCCCCCCACCCGTTCTTTATTATCGATATTACATTAGATAAGATATCCCGGACTTTCGTTGAAACCAGGAATTATCGGGAAGAGCGATTTCGCGTCTACCGTAGAAAAGTTTCGCAATTTACGCTCTTAGCCGTCCGTGAGATTTTATCGTTAGAATCTAATAGGCAAGGTAGGGTAAGTAGGGTAGATAGGTTAGGTAAATCGTGCCTGGGTAATGGGTATGTTACACGAATAGACCATTGAAAAAGTAGCTGAACCGTCACTAGTTTGTCGACGGACACCCGGTATAAGGGACGCAGACGGTAAAGCCATAGGCCCCAAGAACCCACAGGCCCTAACACCGGGGCCAGCTGCTTCCTTGCTCTTGCTTCACCTAATGTAAAAAAAAAAAGGTACAAGTCAGCTGTTTTGCAGTGTGGCACACGCCGACATGATTGCCCGTTCCAGACGCACCGACACTCCTCCTGACTCTGGACACAAGCGGGGTAGGTGGTGGTGAGGATAGAGAGAGAGAGAGAGAGAGAGAGAGAGAGAGAGAGAGAGAGAGACTATAAAAGAAAAAAGAATAAAAGAGCAAACCGGTAGACGCCGGGTGGTACCGAAAGTAACGATCCTTGCTAAAAGCGGTTGTCAGGAGTCTGTCCTTGACACAGGTACTTTTAATGAACCTAAGAAGAGAAAAAGAAAGAAAAAAAGAACGGTTAAATCGTCTTAGAACAATGTCGGAATTATTTTATTGCTATGGTAAACGTTGATTCTAGACTTTTATGACGTTTCGCAGGTACGAGGATCAGAAAGTCGTTCTTTGCCGTGCATTTGGTTTACGTTTGTGGCGAAATTCTGCGACGTGAAGTTTTATTCGAGGCTTATGGGTTTCTCGAAATGCCCTATAACGCTTTCCTTCGAATAATTCGGGACGTTGGTCGTGTCCCGGAAGTTGAGGGTCACTGGCTATTGTATCTAGATGCCTAGAACGGGCGCAGGGGCAAAATGCACGGGAACGTCGGTTGCGCGTAACGTCTCCGGACGAGGCGAACCTGGGACTGGAGAGCAGGTGCCCCATTGCTGCTTCAGGATAGGAACGTATACCTATATCAGGTCTACAGGAAGATACCAATTTCATATATTTTCTTTTTCATTTATTTATGAAATAAAAATATATAAATTTCTTGTTAAACCAAATTTCAGATCTTTCTTTTGACAGGAATGAATAGGAATTTTTGTAACGTCTCTGAATTCTTTCGCGACATTTTCTTTAGGTACGTTCCTGGCGGGGTTACTATAACGCCTTTTTTCAGTACTACCAACCCCAGGGTAAATATTGATATATTAATAGCAGGCTGACGTCAGTAGTATTCATAATAGCCGACTGTACAGACCTACACGTGCTGATTACCTGTATATCTATAAATGTGCATATGCACGTGAGTGCAATAGGCTTGACAAGTGGTAGAGTCAACTGACCAAGAGTAAATTCCCTAGGATCATAAGAAAGGTAGGTGCATGTAAATATCACCAACATGATATATCGTATACAGTATAGGTAGGATCGAGTGAATCATTCTATTAATCCGAATAAAATAAATAGCCGTGTTTGTATGTAATAAAAATATTTGAAAAATTCAAAATTCAATTCGACGATCGTTCGTCCATTTTAAATGGGTATGAAAGACGATCTCTTTGTGTGTTTCCTAACGAATCTTAAGTTAAGGAAACTTGACAAAAAGCCACAAGGGAGGAGCAGACCAATATCGGAAATTTATCAGCCCCAGAAAGACGGCAGCTGCTGGACCGAAAATCTTCTCCTGGAGGATGAATTTACCGGATGGAAACCGGCATTTATTAAGGTTTTTTTTTTCCCCTCTACTTCTCTCTTCGTTTTTTTCTTCATCCTCATCGAAAAATCTGAGCGCGTCTACAAGTCTTTTTTGGGTCGTTTGCTGTTTTTTGTCTCACTATATACTCTCGCACGCGTTCTCTCTCTCTCTCACTCTCTCTCTCACTCTCTCTCACTCTCTAAGATAGTCTTCAGTTTCTCCCTCCTGGTAGAGAAGGACCTAAGTGGAAGAATGAATATTCCAATGGTGGTAGCACTGGTAAAAATGTTGAGAGTACCAGGTTCAATGGTGGTATGGCGGCATTTGAGAGTCCTGGCTACTCGAACCACTTAGACAGTCGTTTCACTGGTCGGTAACGGCGAAGTGTATTCAAGGGTTGTTTTCCTTTTTTGATTTGTTCCCTTTGAATCCGGCATTTTCGATGTTTCACGAAGTGGGCTACCTCTCTTCTTTCTTTTTATTGTTTCTTTATTTCCAGACAACCGACGCAGCGACAAGGTGGAGCGGTCGAGTAAAACGAAATTAAAAAAAAAAGGAAATGGAACATCCGCTCGTAACCGTAATAAAGAAATAAAAGAATCGACGAGTAGGTACCGCACTATTGCGTAATTGTCTCTTGCACTAAGAACAGTCGTTATTATTTCCTTTTCTATATACAATACAATGAAACTATATGAAGCTGATAGAAAAGTTAGAGAACAAAAATTTGTCAAAATTTGTTAATAAAAAAATTGTATCGGCTGTCAAAATTATTAAAAAGAAATTTTTAGTAAGGGTACAGGATCCGAGGGTTGAAACTAATTCGAGAAGGGTTGCTAACTAGCGAAGAAAAAAAATAAACTTGCCTATGTTCCGGTTTTGAAACTTACCCCCCTTTTCATAACTTCCTACGGCGTTCCTGACACCGTATAGAAGGGTTGTAATGTCCGTGGGGATTTAAGGGTCGAAATACTCACTACAAGATACCAAATATCCACGCGAAATTGCTTACCGACCTTAAGATTAATGTGGGCCTTCCAAAGTCCTGTGGAGCGTGGTGAAACTTTTGCGTTTAATGACGTGCCTCCTGTTGCCTCACTTCGTGCGGGAGAGAAACAAAGAGGGTAAGAGTGATACGCTAAGAGAGCAAGCGAGAGGGCAATAGAGTAACAGAGCGAGAGAGCGTTAAACTGACAACGACGTACACGAAGGAATCGAGACTGTTGACCGGAAATCCGCAGTGTCTTATGTAGGAACATTGCACGTCCAACACCCGGTATAACTTCGAAGGCTCCTCCACTCAGGAATCCACTTCACTTTTAGGGTAGCTATGCTACCAGACACCCTAAAAATCAGCTACCTCGAAAAATGGCAGTAGCCCCGGAAACGAATTTCAACGTTGCCAACGCTACTAAAACTACAGGAATCTTTCACGTGGCTCACTGCCCGTTTTCGCATATTTCTTATGGTTATAACCATGGACACTCGTCTGGTTAACTACCACAAATAGTGTTAAAAAAATTTACTATCACTCACCACGTATCGTATGGTACGTATAATTTATTATAAAAAAGGGTGCAAAGTAGAACCTTGCAAATTGCTTCCTCATTATTTTACCTGGTTTTTTTCTATCACAATGATGCTAAGTAGAATCTTACACTTTGCTTCTTGATTCTTTTCCTTCGTTCACAAAGCCTCCACTATGAGGAAGTTCTTTGATTTATTTTCGCGAGTTATGTACTATTGAACTTTGGTACTTATAGGAATAAAAAATTAAAAATGAGGTTAAAAAAACAAACAAAACAATAACGATAATTTTTGGAAAATTTCAAAACCACGTACAATCTGAACCGCTTTAGCGATCTTGGCGAAATTCAATACCAAACAACATTGAACGTATCTTCAGTTATGAAGAACTGTTTAGCTAAGTCGTCGAACCTTTACGAAAGTTAGAGCGACCACGCCCTTTTTTCAAAAAAGTTTTAAATTACATAAAATTTCAACGGCTGCATATATTTCATTAAAAATCCGAACATTTAAAGAGGGATATCTACTTTACCTGTGTGCCAAATTTCGGTCCGATCGTTCTAACGATTACTGAGTAAGAGGCAATTGAATTTTCGAAGCCCTGCACACACACACACACGCGCGCGCGCGCGCGCGCGCACACACGCACACACACAAATACGGAAATTTTTTCTAAACTACTTTTCTTCACGTTTTAGACCATGTTAAGTATTCCAACATGAAAATCTCGAAAAAAAAATGTTGCATGAAAACATAGCTTCCTCTATGAGGAAGCAAAAAATGTACCTTTTTTTGTATTTAATATTACTCTCTTTGCTCGTTTATGGAAAATTGTATTTATCGATTAAACTCTTATCTTTATTATCTCTTTTATTTATTTTTGTTGAACAATGAGAATTTCAATGCCTTTACTCATTTTCTCACTTGATCATCGTGCTCGTTAAGCGTGCGCGAGCTGTCTGGCTTTATCGGATGGTTGATTTGCCTCATTTCGCCGGAAAGGCGCCCATGTAACGGCACCCTTATGTCCACATTGAGGTAACCCGCCCTTAAAGCCGCCGGAAAGACCCGTGCTACTCGGGATCACCCTTCTAGCTCTGATCCCACTAGCCCGTTGTTACCCTTGCGGAATTGAGCGCTTTAGCGAGGCTGCACGTACGTGAAACAGAAACTGTTTGTCTCGCTTACTCCACCCACTTTCACCCTTACGCTCTGCTTGTTGTATATAGTGGTATATAGTGTTGCGGAGCCATTTTGAATAATCGAGGGTTGCTGTGCCTTCCGTCCTCACGATATTCACACTCGCAATTATTTGTGACTTGGAAATTGTACGCCACCCACTTTATCATCCACTGTGTTGGTTCGTTAAAATTTCATTTTCCTAGTGCCTGCGCGGCATTGTTATGTTTTATAAAATTGTACGTAATTCCAAAATATTTCTCCCTCGGCTCGGAAATATTTTCGTTGGAATTAGAATTCTTGAGGGATACTTTTGAACGCTAACCAAATGTCAAAGGGATGCTGTACCGTTTACTGGAATTTCAGATTTCTTGAGATTCAGGGTCTCTTCAGGGTTCTTCAAGAGTTTTGAGCACTGAGATGTATATACACTCTTTTTAAGTCGAATTTTGAATTTTTTTATTATAGACTGCCCGTGCTAATTAACTGTACTCGGTACATTATCTGGTGGGAAATATAGGGTGGTTCAAGGGTACGAAACTATAGGGGCGGGACGAGAGGAGCAAGTCAAGCGTTCGAAAATTGAGTTACCCTTCCGGTTAAACTGCTCGTTGACGTCACGTTGGCCATTTGCCCTTAAGGTCAACTTTGAAGCCACATCGAAGAGCAATCATGCTCGCCAACCTCGGATGAACCATTTTCCATTTATGCACGGAGAGAATTTTTCGTCAAAAATTATCGTGAAAATCTTGGTAGTCACGGAACATCGTGGTATTTCATGACGTATTATCTATATAATAATATTTAAGAGCGACTAGCGAAAATGTACTAATTGTAAAGAGGAAGCATAAAGCGTCAGCTTTTACTGAAGTGTACGTTCAAAATTTCGAAGCTAGAAAACATGTAGTGCAAAACTGTAGCTTTTACCTTGTTCAAGTTAAATATTCGTCTACAACAGCCGAATTATCTCGTTTGCTACATTTAATTTCACCTGGAGTGCAGGATTACTTTTCATACCTTTAAAGTCAACCACGAAAAACATTCTGACTTTTTCATATGTTTTTCAAACGTATGGTTGGGTCGTTACACATTCAGTACGTATAAGCAATGGTAGCCAAATGTTGTTAAGAAATGGTACTGATTTAATAAATTGTTTTTTAATTTATGTTTATTCGTCTCAGTTATTCTCCCACATGTGTGCAGAAAATTAGAAATAAATATTCGAAAAATATAATTCAGGTTAATAAACGTAGATCTGTTGAACGGTCTGAACATGGTTCTACGGTAGAGAACGAATGGATGAGCTAACTTCAGCCGAAGCAATGCTCCTAAATAATACTATACGTTTCGCAATGTTGTGAATATGTCAATTAGCTTTTGGTTATATGAATCACATTTTTTTTGCAAAACAGAAAATTTTACGTCGCGTCAGGTGAATTTAACCGTGAAACGCAGTAAAAATAGCAAATAATATTTACTGTGTGCACTTTCAAATTTACTTGTAGCCAGTCAAAATATCGTGTGTATAAGCAGTAAGTAATGAAACGATAACGATGTCCCACGATTATTGGTTTCTACAGTAAATTTTATCATGAATTTCAAAGAAAAATTAACGAAAAATTGTCTTCGTATATAGAAGTCCTTGTAGATTGTCATGACAAGAAATTCTATATTTATTGTACGATGGAATTCCTTGCAGCACCCTGAGGACGTACAATAAAATATATACTTGGCAACGATGTGTGCTGGTACATGGATTTTTTTCCTTTCTGAAATGTTTGAAAGGAAAACAAAGGGGGAAAAAGCAGTAGAATGAACCCAGATTCTTTCTTTCCCTGTATCTTATCGAATACGAGAAAGGATTAAAATTCGCATAAATTTATGCTGGCATCTTTGAAAATTCAATGATCCCTCTCTTTTTTTCTTTCTCGCCTTATCTTGTACAACGAATAAAATATTTGCCGATTAAATAATAGCTCTGACCAACATCATTTTTCATTAATTTTTTTTCGGTTCTACATTAATAAATTGCCACTTATACCCCTTTGTCCCAAGGGTAGCATGGATGCTGTGGTTGAGGATGAAAGAGTGAAAGATAAATAGAGGCTTCGGTCTATCTCGCAGGCTGGTCGAACGTCAATTAATAATATAAAATTCGCGCCGCCATCGCCACGTCATCCCAAAACCATTCTTAGCTACCACTTTTAATTTACCCTCCAATCGAGGATTTACCCTAGCAACCCCCTTATTTCCTTTTCTGCCCAACCGACTCTCATCTTCAAAGTTCTTAAGCCTACCGTACTACAGGTTCCTTGTTCTTGTCTATAGATGCACCCCTCGCTTGCAAAAGTCTCGGAATAGGGTTCCTGCTAATTCCAGCCAGGAAAATTATATTGCTCAACATAAAAAAAAGACATTGTACAAAGCAGAGGAAAGGTAGATCCAAGCTCTCCGTAACCCCTGTCCATAGGTTTTGCGAAGCCGTAAAAAAAAATATCAAAGACGGTACAAAACTAAAACAGTAAAAGAAAGAAATAAGAGCAGGGTGTAACTGTGCATAACTAGAAGGGGTGCCATTGCCACACCAGTGGGCGCCAGTTTCGACTGTGGGGTTGCTGCCACAGGGGAGCATGAACCGACATAACGTTAGTGGTGGGGAAATGCGACCCCCACCATGCGTCCTAGCATCTAGACGCCAGTGTCGGGACCGCTTGACGCGCCTCCGTCGCGACTCCTGTCTCAGTTACCAACAGACCGCGCGACTGCTCGCATCAAAGTAACGTAACACGAGTGAGCACTGTAAGAGAGACATGTCACGAGAAACGGATCTCCTCTGAACAAAGAAAGAGACTCCGCGTCGCAGGCTGTTACTTTATTTCCTTCTAGAACTCTCGTGTCTCGTAGCGAGAATTTGATAATCGAGACAGAAGTTCAGTGCCGTCGTTTGTATTAACCGCGTTGTGTGATTGTCGGAACGGAACAAAGAAAGCGTACAGAATATCGTGAAGGTAAAAGAAACGTAGCAGTGGAAAGACTAGGAACTAAAATAGCCGGGAAAATTAAAAAAGGTGTGAAGAACGTTTAACTGGCCGATAAGTTCCTTTTTTACCGATTATTCCTCTTGTTATTAAATTGTGATCCTTTATTCCGTCGTTCCTTAATGTTCATTCATTTTGTATCCCTTTGTCCAATGCTAGCACAGCCAACCAGTCACTACCCATAGTCAGCCAGCCAACCAGCCAGTCATCCAGTCAACCACGCGACGCGTTCCGACTCGCGCGGAGGGAGCTTTGTTGATTTTTACCGTGAGTGACTCCGAAATCGGCGGGACTCTATTGTCAGAAATAATTATATAGATATAAAGTGATATCATTGTGGCAGATCGAAATTGGTATTCGAGAAAACTTAGTGGACTCTGATTCGTCCAAGAAAAGTAATTCTTGGTGCATTCAACATTGTCGCGTGCTTCTCTTCAGATCCTGGATAATTTTAAACTGTCGTTAACGGTTAGTAACGATCTTTTCATTTTTCTGTTGATTTCATTTCCGATCGTAAACGCAGTTCTGCTTCGACGCGTCTGTATTTTCTGTGGCATAACCTCGAAAAGGTCCACGGCCATTCCGAAAGAGTCACGTCGTCGCGCGTGTTTGTGGTGAAGTGACAGGAAGAGAGGACGGCTTCTGTATTAATAATCTCTGCCATTGTTCTCTTTCATTCTCTCAATACAGTAGAGATATTGTGATTGTAGAGGTGAAATTTATCGTGCGCGTGACGATAAGTTAGTTGATCGAATATTAACTTAAAGTCAGAATCGCAAGGAAAGTAAAGAGAAATTACGTTTTTCAACGATTTGTGATATGTGCCACAGGAAGGAGATTTAAGAAAGGAAGGATTCTCTTAAAGGAGCAGTGTTTCTTTTTTTTTCTCACCAACTACGGATTATCCTCGTATATACGGTGAGGCTTATAACCTGTACATGACATACAGTGTGTATATTTAATAACGCTATTATGATATATAGCTTAAAAATAATTGTTCTAATAATATATTTTATATTTATACACATGCTCGATCGTGCTGGCTAGCACTACGTGTACCAAACGTATATGTTAACAACTGGTTTTATCGGTTTTCTTGTCTTATGGAAAGAGACACAAAAGAAAAAGAAAGAAAGAAAAAAGTGTATCAACACTAACGCTCGCGCGGTATATACAGTCAGAAAGACAGTCTGGGAACCTAACCTGTTCTGTAGAAGCTGGTACACGTTGACATTTTATAATCCTTAATTCCCCAATTTGTTTCTAATATAATATAATCAAAAGTTGTCATTGTTGTTTGTGAATAGGACAAGCAGTGTTTAAGAAGAATTCGTCACGCGGTACTTGTGTCAAATATAATATACTTTGCCACAGAAAATGTCATTGGGAAGATCGATTCCATTGCTTTTATCATAAAGCTAAATTAATTCAGCTACACGACATGCACCCTGGATTAAATTGAAGCAGTGAGTTTTTGTACGAAATATTTTTCAAAAGAATATTGTTGCGATAAGTATTTTCTCCTTTGTACTTGAGAATTCAAGAAGAGTTTATTGCCCGTTCTCAATTTGTATAAAGTTCATGCATATTATTCTTGTTCTCGACCGTAATGAATGTATGATTCGCTACTCTTCTTCTCCGCGATTTTCTTATTTGTTAAATATCGCGAGTTTTGTTATTATTAATTTTCTTTTTTCTGAGCCATGAATACATTCTGAATTAGAACGTGTTAAGAGCGACACGTTTCTCGTCTTGCAACTTTTTAATCGAACCAAGCAACAAGTTGACGGTTGTCGCTTCCTCTCTCCTCCCTTGCTTCTTCTTACCCTATCCGGGTGCGGGGTCTACCTAACCTCACCACTTTCTGTAAAATAGTACTACCCCCTTTCTCAAACTCCAATGGCGTTGATGCCACCAGAAAGTTTTCCTTTGAAAGAGACTTCTTACCAAAAGTAGATAGACGCCTTAGCACACTTTATCCCGTTCCTGGTTGCTGCTTTTCTCAATATGAAAAAAAGAAATTCGATCGTTGCTGAGCTGCCAACTTAGCCTCATTATAATTGTCGCGAATACTTATTAATACTTAAATTACTAGATGACTAGAGACCCTTGGTCATCGGTACTTGAGAGTAAATAAAATAATTTCGTTAGGTCCTGAACCGTAGACTTCATCAATTTGTTTTTTAATTAGCAGAATGATGAGAATCAACTCGTAAAGTAATTATAATCGCTAATAAAAAATCATGAAAAAAATAATATGGCGACACCCAATAGTAACGACGTTCGAGTCATTGATTTCTTCGACGTGCTGTTAAAACGAGCATCGACGGAGGGGTTGGCCACTTGAGTGGCATCCTTTCTGCTGCGCCACGAGCTACGAGTCCTTAATTAAATCGTGTCCTGGAAATGAAATGTAGCGTCCTCGTCGTCAGTCAGTCGCGCACGTCCATACTCTCTGTTCGTATCTGTGCCATTATTATTATCAACGAAAATCCTTTAACGCTTCGCTCCTTTGCTTTTGCAAACAGTCGCGTTACGTTTACATCCCTTGTATATCCTTCCGGCGGAAATCTCCTTCGATCTTCCGCTTTTTTAACCCCATTCAGTGCGCAACCCCTGATAAAAAAATATTTTAAGGATGCACAGGAAGGAAATCGTCGACCTTTATCCGACGAAGCCTCCTGGCTGTCCCTTTTTTCTCGACTGAGCGAACGAGGGTGGAAGATACCGCGTTACTAGGAAAGATAAGAGATAAGGGATCACAGTGATATTTAACATGAATACGAGGAACAATTGAAAGAATACAAAAAATTGATTTCTTCAAACGTTGCAGATGGAAAGTAAATTTCTTTACCCAATACCATTCGAATGGAGTGCCGTTGGCATCTCGACGCGTGTGGCAACGATAACGGCGCCGCGTGGCGTCACGACGACGTTGGCGTGTCCTTCCCCCCCTCTTCGTTCGCCCTTCGCGCCGAGTGGATCGCACGCTGCGGATCCGCCCGACGAAAATAGTTGGCGAATAAATTTGACAACGTAAAAACATTTACAAGGCGCGAATAGCACGAGATTTGAAAATTCCATGTGCGCCCCTTGTCCGTATTTTTTTTTTCTATTTTCCGGTAAAACTTCAGTTTACGTCTCTTGAAATCGCGCGGTACGTTCGCCATCGTCGTACAGACGTTCCTGATACGTGAACTCATTCCGTTCATGTTACTTACACGCTATAGCAGGTAGAAACTTTCCTCGGCTCTATCGAGGCTTCCTGTTTCATAATACGTAAGCAAATAAAGATCGGCACTGCGTCAACGGCTGTTTTTTTTTTCACCAGTGCAACCGGTAGTTGTACACGATGTACGATTGTTCGGCGGGCGATAATAATTATTAATAGTCTAAGGATAATTGGCACTAATTGGCTTTTCTACAGTGAATCATGCACGATTCATGCATTCTAGAAGAAATGTGCAACCGGTACGTTGCTCTCGAACTGGCATTTTGTATTCCCCTTAAGCCGTGATTCATTCTCCCGTCGCGTGGAATTCCTTTCCCACGGTCTGAGCGCCCGAACGAAAAGAAGCCAAGCCAAGTGCCATTTCGCTAGACAGCCAATCAGAGGAAGATGGAGAAACAGGCTCATTGACACTCGTACATCCGCTGTAACACTGCTAATCCAATTTTTTCATTCCCCGTTCTTTACGTGCTAGTCACTTTTTGTAGACGGGTGTATTGTCAATTTTACATATTTAAACGTAAAAATAAGCCGCCTGCGAGCGTGTGAAAAGTGACTACCGTAGAAAGTATAGGGAATAACACACTTGAATTTGCAGATATAACGTATATACGTATAGATCTTGCAGGCTGTACTTTAGGGTCTTTCCCGTGTGGACATGCATGTATATATTTACATATGATCTAGCCAAGGAAAGCATGAGTGAAGTTTACATTTAAAAAAAAAAGTAACAGAAACGTACGCAATGATAGCTCGAAGAGATTTTTCGTCGCTGACATAAAAACGCTGACTTCACGTAATAAGAATGCGTGGCTCATCCGGCCTCAGATGAGAGTAGACATTGTATTTGCGTTGGGTGTACCCCATACGCCGAGAGCACGCTACGTTTATATACACGTGGAGCACGAAGAACTGCGAAATCGAAAGTGTCAGTGGGTTATTCAGTCTCTTGGCTATTCGACGTATTTCTGTCACTTATCTTCTCCTCCCTTTGAAATGCAACGTTCGTTTTATCCCTATTGAATTTCACAACTGTGTCACGGTAGGTTCGTTTCATTCTTTCGCACTCCTTGTATGCACTTTATCGCACGTGCATACGAACGGAACGGTCGGCACTCCCACTCTCGGTACACGTGGTCGAGTACCTGTTTTCTAGCTGATAATGGCGGCCATACGGATACTTGCTAAGGGGGACAGCTGCAGGTTAAAGAGTCCACAATTTTAGACACGGGATGGTTCGGTGATTGATTATTTTACATGGTCCATGAATGACCCCACGTGGGTGGGTATGTCCTATTGGGAGTACGCCATATTTCATTTTTACTACGTAGGATCACTTCGGTCTGTACAGACTGAAGATCCAAAAATGATCTTTCACATTCAATAAATATGGCTTGGATACGAAATTTATCTGGTTATTATTTTCTATATCAATCAAGAAAATAGACCTTTGTGGATCATTCTCGGATCGGTAATTGATATTAGATTCGAGTCATTTTCATCGTACGAGAATTTTCAGATCAACTTTGGATCCATCCCGTAAACGGAAGTTAACCTGTGTCAAGTTAGCCCAGCACTTTTCGAATTTTTTATTTTTGAAAATTGTGCTTTTTGCCAGCTTTGTGCTAACTTGTGCCGTTAGTAAAAAGTCGATACTCTTATGATTTTTGAAAAAATTGAAAAATTCTTATGGTGGTCCTTCGTTTGTGCTGCTCCATAAAAGCCGTGAAAACCAGAATTTCGATAAACTAAAAGTTGTGCTATATTGTGCTACGCGAGCACAAGTTTCCCTTACGGAGAAACCTTCTCAGAGCAACCTTCACGGTATTCCGTGAGGGTTGCATTTTTGCGCTGCTTCCTTAAAATCTGGTTTTTACGACTTTTATGAAGTAGCACTAACGAAGGACTACCGCAACAATTTTTCAATCGTTTCAAAAATCGTAGGTGTATCGACTTTGGTTTAACGGCACAAGCTAACACAAAGCTGACACAACTGAATACAATTTTGAAAAATAAAAAATTCGAAAAGTGCTAGGCTGGCAAAAATTTAGTCTTTTTAAATTTTTTTCGAAAACCATTAAAGTTCTCGACTTTGGATTAAATGCACAAATTAGCACAACCGCAGCACAATTCAGTATAATTTTCATAAATAAAATATTCGAAAAGTGCTGGGCTAACTTCACACAGGTCGGAAGTTATTTTTTCGTAGATCCGAACGTCTTTGTACACGCTGCCAGTTTCTCGTTATTTTCACGAAATTCCGTCTCCACTTTCGATTGGTTTCTGCGAATTCATTAACGTCCAGACTTATTCATCGAGCAACTTGGGTAATTTCGAGCCGGCACATCCGGTTGCGTCACGTTTTTCGTCTATCGGTCAGCCTGTTTCCCTTTGTCTTTTCTCATTTTTCTTTTACTCTATTCTCTCCTTACTCGAAGCGTCTCGTTCATGCGAATCGTTACTGCTGTACGCTGATTCAATGGGTTAAACGATGCTAATTGCTCAGCTGATCGGTTGCGTCATCGAAAACGAGATAAGTCACGCGCAAAAATCGTGATTAAAGCACAGTCGGTCCGGTTCGTGCGTTCGGATGTGTCATTGGTCGTTTGACATGAAAAACTGGCGGGAATTATGAATGACGCGACGATGGATATGCCAGGTCGGGATTGGCTAGCGCGATGGCATTCCGGTAGGGTTTTCATGGATTCTTTCGATTTTCCCGAAAGATCCTTTCCGAGAAAGGCTCAATACGTGGGGTTCGGATATTTTTGGTCGGCCAAAGGGATCTCCGGGCCCCGACGAAATTCCAGGCATACCTTTCTCTTTCGGACCCCAAACAAGCGAACCGGTCTTCCGAGAATAATGCACGATGTCGAAAATACGTCAGGGGAAAGCATCCTCCCTCCTTGTCTTCCCCCCCGTCCTCGTCTTTTCCATTTTCATCCAGCAAGATGGGATACCGCGAGACACGCCTTTCGGAATGATGCCAAAAATTCCTTTGCCATCCTTTTTCTTCCCTTTTCTTCATTTCTCTCTTTTCCACCCTCCTAACTTCTCAGATGCCGCGTGAACTGGGAATCGTGAGAGGTGTTGCGGTTACGGATATAAAAGAAATTATGGCTCTCGGACACTTGACTCTTTCCCACCCGTAAACGCGCTCGTACACATAATTTGTATGTAGGGATAATTGCGCGCCTTGTGGACGCACCTTAACTAGCGAAAGTAAGGCCCCCCTTT